CACAATGGGAAGAGCAAGCTGGTCATTGCGCTCAGATCCAAACCTCTGGGCATAGACCGTTGTGCTAGGTGCTGTACAAACACTGTACCAACCATGACCCCTACCCAAAGAGCTTACCAGCTCAGTAAAGACTCGGCTGCCCCAGGGTCACAGTGTGGATCCCTCTTCCAGTTCCCACTGTGCTGTGGAAATGCCTCTTCTTGAGCTCACAGCTGTGAGCTAGAGATGGTATTTCTCCACTCGGGCCACTAAACCTTGTGATACTGCTTGGGGCAGGAAAGGAGTCCTGGCTTTCCTTGCCCTATGACTTATGTTCCTACAGCCACTGTGGTTCACAGACAGGTCTAAGTTTCTGCGTTCTGGATTACACACCCACACACACTGCTGGCATAACATGCCATAGTATCTTTTCCCCTCAGACCCAGCGAAAAAGCAAGTAGTTATGAATGTACAGACACTGACCTGCGGCTCATGGAGGAGGGACCAGCCAGCACAGGGAATTTTCAGCAGTTTCACCTGCTTTGAGGAGTATTTTTGTTGCCTGTGCTTGCTCAGGAAAGTCTTATTTTGTGAAAAATCACAATAGATTCGGTTTGTCTTGCAAGGTAGACATGCGACACCCCCCCCCCCCCCAAACTGGTCTCCCCTGCCCAGATCCATTAATGGGCTAACGACTTATTTAAAATTCTTTGAGCAGCTGAATATATCTTATCCACAGTGATGCATCCTGACGCACACCACTGTCACCGTGAGCCCTGATGGCTTCCCTCACCAACACAGCCCTTCAGTGAGCTCCTGTAATTGCCCTTGTATCTAGCTGTTCAAAACCAGCTGTCTTTCCTTGTCTCCCCTGCCAGGAACGTTTTCCCCCTATGTTTCACAAATATTTTGTACTAAGCTCCTGGCAATGACAACAGGAAGGTTTAGCTCCCTGAAGTCCAGCCTGGGTATGAGGCCCCTCCAGTGTCCTTTCGAGCTACTCCACGCACATTCAACCGTCATCTCAGACGGTGGTTAAATCTGCCCATGCAGCTGTCCAGCATACAGAACAATGATCCAGGGAAGAATCGCAGTCGGCATCACAATGCCACCAGTGCGATTAACCCAGTCCAGGAAACGTGCCCCTGTATACAGCTTCTCCAACAAAGCGGTGAGTATCACATCACAATCAACGTTGCTTTGGTTTGGCAACCATCATCCTTCCAGATCATGGTGTGTGTGAGAGGTCACCCAGACCTTCAATGCATATGCCTAGGCAGGAGTTTGGAGAAATGGAGGCTGCCCAGACCTTCCATCTCCCTTTTAAGCCATGGAGACCAAATCCAAAAGCCAGACTGAGTCCAGGTGTTTGGTGCCTCCATAGCTGTAGTTGTATAAGCATCCTGGAATTGAATCCAGGTCTCCTGTGTGGCAGACAAGGACCCTATACCACTGAACCACAGGGGACTTCGCAATCAATAGTAATGTCAGTGAAATGGCCCCAAGGATCTGCTAACCATGGCAAAGGTCCCCCCTTCTCTCCGTGCATTCAGGAGTGGTGTGGGGGGAAGGGGAATCAGGATGTGAGCCCCTGGCATTGCCCCATGATACTCTGAGGATCCACTGCACTAAATCGATCTATAACTCTCTGCAGACAGCTCGGCATCAGTCTTGTACAGCAGGACACAGCGGTGTAGAAATGCAAGGCTGAAGGGGACCTCAAGAGGTCGCATCTAGTCCAAGCCTCCCTACACAAGGCAGGATCATGCCCGACAAATAACATCCTATTCAAGAATGAGTCTAACCTGCTCTTAAAAATCCACCCAACCTTCTCTCACAACTACCAGGCGCTGTACCTGAAATATCCAAAACACCTGTGCTTAAGGGTGCTGCAGGCCTATCGTAGAAGCATAGAGACATGGAGCTGGAAGGGCCCTCTAGAGGTCACCTAGTCCAATCCACTGCCTGAGGCAGGATCACCCCTATCCAAACCATCCTCATTGAATCCAGTGTGTAACCTCTTAGCAAAACTACCCAGTCAACCCTGACACAGCACAAGGTGTCACACCCAACCCTGCCACACATAAAGCAGGGGAAGGTAAAAACCCCCGCAGCTCATCCAAATCCGAGCATGAGGTTAAGTTCCTTCCTGACCCTAACTGCAGCAATTGGTCTGACCTTGAGCAGAGGGGCAAGCCCCTCCAGCAAGGAAACTCCAGGTTTAAGTCCCAGCAGGAGCACTGGCACACCCCAGTCAAAATCCCCAGCCTGGGTGGCAGCCAACACCTGATGGCTCTGAGGAACGTGAAAAAAAACCCGACCCGGACGCATGTAGTAGCAGGGAAATGACCATCCTCAGTGAGGAATTTCTAACCCCAAATTGATGATCACCCACCATCTAAAGCCGTCCAAGGTGGCCCCTTTGTGCAGCGGGATCACTACCCATTCTGGAGCACGTGGCGCACAGCTCCAGACACACGTGGCTTTCCACCCCTGAACCTTGGGCAACAATTACTGATTGTCCCAGTGTGAACTGATCCTTTTTCCTGGGCACAGAAGCACGGCTCCGCATCATGCAACTGGCCAGCCCGCATCTGCTACATCCGGCAATTACCTTGCAGTGTCTGGCTCACGCTGCTTCTCCTCGGCGTTTTCATTTTTGCTGCTGCACGACCAGCCGCTGCGGTAATTCCTGAGGTTCCTCAGGTACAGAAGAGTCAAGTGTCCTTCCTTCAGAAGCCCTGCTGACCTGTTGGATGTCCATACTTCTGCCAGCAAGACAGCGGAGAGATTAAAACCTGGCCCTCAAATGATCAGGTTACGGGCTGCGACGGAGGAACCGTGGGAGTTTTAAAAAGGGATTATGGGCTGGAACGAGGGAACCCCAAACTCCCACAAGGAAAGTGCAGTGCACTGCAAAAGTAGCCCATAAGTTGGGATGCTAAGTGGTGATGTGGGGAATTTGGGGGTATCCCCCCACAGTGCAGCACAGGCTTTCCAGGTACAATCTATGACGGTGAGGACAGCACGCTGGCCATGTGTCCAAGGGGACAGCACTCTAAGGCAACTGCAGCTGCCTGCCAGCCACCAGGAAAACCTTTTCATGCAGACAGGGGCTGAGCCTTACCCTTACGCAGCTATGCCTACATGGCTGAGTAGTGTAGACTTCCCTGAGCTGGCACTGAGTCAGCTAGCTTGGGTTACCAGCAACCCTGCCCCTGTGGCAGCAGGGAGCTCAGCATGAGCTAACTCCCTGAGTGTTTTCCCCAGCTAGACTGCTAGCTTTGAGCTGGCTCAGGGAGTCTTTGCTCCCCTGAAGTCACATTGGCGACTGCAGTGCAGACACACCCCAGGAGACCAGTGTTGTCTCTGTTGCTGGCTATGGCGCTGTGAAGCTCGTTAGTACAGTACTACAGAAGTGGCTGCATAAACCAAATGACTGTCACATGAGAGGGAATCAGATCACACACCAAGCGCGCCCACCGCGCTGTCTCCGTGCAAGCAATCGGCTCCCATTCTGCAAGCGCGCGGTTGAATTAAACATATAATTACATAGCGTTCGAAAGGCAAAGGCTATTTATTAGCAGGCACAAATGGCCCCATCTGATTCCCACTTAGCTCAGTGGAAGCCTTTCCGCTCACTTGAATGGGCACTGGCCAAGGCCCAAAATTACCCAGCATCACATAGAAAAAGACAAACAGGCTGCTAGAGGAAGGGCGTCCCAATGGTTAGAGCAACAGCCTGTGACTCACAAAAACCCGGTTTAATTTCCTGCTTTGCCATCAGCCTCCCCGGTGTCCCTTCCCTCCCCCCCAGCAAGACCCCCCCATGTTTCTGTGCCCCAGTTCCCCATCCCCGGAGTGAAGCAGATAGCACTGTCCTATCTCCCGGGAGTGTTGCGAGAGCAGGTCCATTAAAGGTAACGAGGAGCTCAGGTACTGTGATAACAGAAGCCATAAGTACAGTGATAAAGAGAGGTGGCATCCAGCCTCCTACCTCTGAGATAACACAGCTCTGTTAACTACTGTGTGGCGTGCCCTCAATATCCAAGCTCAGGCGCTAGTCTACATGAGCCGCTGGCCTCTTCCAAGGTGGCATTTCCTTTCACAGTTGTGTGGCTTTAAACTAAAATAAATGAAGGCGCCTGATGGCTGGAGGGCTTTTGGGTCCTGAAAGCTCGGGAGTGTCTCAGAATCATTTAAAATTAAATTAAAAGAGCTGCTCCTTCTTGGTGCCCTTTCTGCGGGTCAGATCTCACCCGCAGGAGGCTAATTTGGTTAACGAGTTTCCCCAATGAACTGTTGTAGATTATACTCCAGCATCAGAAGACTTGCCAGACTAGCAGGTCACGCTCTTTTGTTTTCTCTGCCCGATTTAGATAACACAAACTAATGTGCAATACATTTGCAGGTGGTTTCTCAGGCTCCTTTCTCTTCGGGAGATGGCACGGTTCCTTTTCAAGAGGCACCCAGTGTCAATCTCGGGGGTCTTGGATGTTTCTCTAGATTGACTATTAGGCGGTTTCACAAACACGCTCTCCAAGAGACAGGGCCCCAGCTGCACAATTGGGATCCAGGTTACAACAACCGTAAGCTGGGAAAGCTCAGGGGAAGCTGAGCTACCTTGTTGCTTCAGCCCATAAGAAAAGCAGGTGCCACCTGCAAAAATTTGCATTTAGATTCCAATCCCACGACAGCCTGAGAGTGATCCGAGCCGGGGCTTTGCGGAAGGAAGTTTCCCAAGGCACTGTGAAACCAATCCAGCAAAGCACTTCAACACCTGCTTAACATCAAGCACGAGGCGAGTCCTACTGAAATCAAGAGGATGACGCACAAGCTTAAAAATAAGAGAGCGCTTAAGTCTTTCCTGGACAAGGGCCTAGATCAATGGCAGAGCCAAGCCCCAAGGGGAGGAGAACAGTCTTGTCCTTAAAGCACTGGATGGGGTTTGAGGTTCAGATGCTGGCTCTTCCACAGACTCTCCCTCTTACCTTGGGCATCTCTCTCCACCTTAGCGCCCCATGTTGCTTTTTTCCCCCATCCACTTAGATCAAAGTATTTTCAAGCGGATCCTATGGGAAACCATCTCCCACTCGACGTATGTCCAGAATGTGCACCAGAACCTGAAGATCGGTGGGAACTACCAAAATATGGTAATAAATCAGTACGACACAGCTATCCCCATCTCCCAGTGCCTTTGGCACATGTCTGGTGCAGGTGATGCTTCAAAGGCACATCAGCGGATGAGACACAGTCCCGGTCAAGGAGGGAAAGGTTAGGTGAGCGTGTCTCCAGGAGGGGGCTGCAGCTGAGGCCTGGCTTTTACAGCCCTCATTTCACATGTCACTGCCTAGTTGTCGCTTCCTTCACGGTAGGAATATTTTACAGGGCTCTGGGTCACGGGACTCTCCTGGAATGCTAAAGCGCTGTCATCAGAAACCCAAATGACTCCTCAAAGAGAGTCATCCATTCCCTGTGCCTCCCGCCTGCTGCCCCTCTGCGCCTGGGAGACAAGAACAACAGCCATAAATAACCGCTGTCAGGTGGTGGCAGATTCAACCTGCACTTAGCCAGAGACAACAAATGGGGAAATAATGTCTAGACCCAGATTTAACCCCTGATGTTCATCCCTCTGGCAGGGAAACAGCACAAGGCCTAGGAACGCAGGGACGGCCAGGCTGAACGTGCCCTCCTGGCTCTGTTTTTAAGTGTAGAGATGACTCGAGAAGTGTCTTTTCAGTAACTTTGTGGCACCGCAGTTCCAGCAATGTTTCAGATTGGACATGCGATTTGGGAAACCTTGCCTAGAGTAGGTGCGACTCCCCATCAATGCCCCACCTGTCTTCCCCCTGGTAGGATCAAAGGCTCCCGAAAGGAGATGAAGGGAATAACTGAGAGCAGCTTGCTTGTTGAGTTTGCATTGGAGTTTGCTGCCCTGATTTCTCCCCCCATGGCTCCCCTAAAAGAGCCACTCCTGTTCCACGCACTTTGGGCATCTGACCTGCGTCTGTGCGGCTGGCAGCGGCAGGCAGCATCTGTCATGATGGGGCTGGGGGGGTCTTCAAAGGGAAAAAGATTTGGGAGCTCCTCTTTGCTGTGGCTGTGCAAAAGCTCACTGCAGCGCCCTGGCCTTCGTTCACTGATGGCCACTGAGCTTCCGGAAGCCAGTGCAGGTTCTGCCTGAATGAGGAGCACAGGGCTGGGCTAAGTGAGCCATTCCTAGTGCAGGCATCAACCGGCACAGGTCCTGCCCGCATCTGTCAGCTCATGTCCTCCCAGGGCTCATTTACCCTAGAGGCTGGTGGCAAACACTTGGCACTGCTCCTTGGATCGTCATGTCAAGAGCCAAGCTGCATTTCTTCTGCAAACAGAGGAGCAGGGAACGTGGTCCGGGCAGGCAGCAAACCCCTCTCTGAGTGGGGCAGAGGTGGAACGAGTCAATTCAGGCCTCCTGGTGGCCTTCCGTTACCCACCGGGCTAATCAGACTTTGAACCTGCTTCGGCAATGAGTTAAAGGTTATTTGGAGATGAAGGAGGGAGGCAGATCATGATGGGCAGAGAGGTAGGCAGAGCCTCCTGGTGCAGGAAGGCCACAGGCTGCCCCAATCCTTACAGGGCATGTCTAATGTTTGGAGAAAGGAAGTGAGAGCCAGGATGCTGGAGTTAGATCCCCTCTTGGACTGTAACTGAGTGGCTAAAACAGTTGTTCTCAGCCTTTACCCACTTGGGGCCACCCTCAGCTCTTCGTTTTCACTCATTTTTTTTACTACAAAAAAACACTAGAGCATGTCTTCTGTTGCAAGGAACTCAGAAAGAGCATAGTAGGGCCAGAGGGGTTTTAGCCCCATGAATTTCTATTTGAAACCTCTGGGTTTATCTTGCGGATCGTGTCTGCACACCTAACAGTGCTAACATTGTGAGGCACCCTCAGAAGGGTGTCCAGGCACCCCAGGGTGCTGCAACACCTCAGGGGTCTTTAAGAGAAGGCTGGATAGGCATCTGGCTGGGGTCATCTCACCCCAGCACTCTTCCCTGCCCAGGCAGGAGGTCGGACTTAATGATCTGTTGAGGTCCCTCCCGGCCCTAACTATGAATCTATGAACACCCTGCTTGAGAATCACTGGGCGCACCTACATGTGCATTTACGGCACAGTAAGCGGTTTTTAGGCTGGCATCTACACGTGCAGGTGTTACAGTGCAGTAACGTGTATGGACTGACCTGGGACTAAAGTTATTCCCAAGTCAGTCCATACACACAGTGTTACTGCGCAGTAAGGCATCTACACGTGCATTACTGCGCAGTAATTAATCGAGCGCAAATTTGCTATCTGCATCATGGAGGTAGCAAATTTACGTCCAAGTTGACATAAGTTGCCATAGTTACTGCGCAGTACAGACATGCATGTTTAGATACATGCCCATACCATGCAGTAATTGTCCGTTACTGCACAATAACCTAAATTACTGAGCAGTAAATGTCCACTTGTAAACGCGCCCACTGAGTTGCAACAAGACTGCTGGGGTCAGATTGCTGCTCCCGGCTCTGGGCAGATCACTGGGACCAGAAGCAGAGCTCTTGCTGGCAAGGAGCACAGCCTGAGACACCTCCCGGGGCAGATCCCCCCGCAAGTTCAGGGGGCGTGCGGGGGAGCTGCAGGTTCTTACCTCCTGGAAAGACCAGGCCTGTAACTGCTCTGTCTCTTTCTCCACTGGGGAAAAGAGGGCAGTCGTCCTGACTGATTTCAGAGGGAAGGAACAAGACGGCCACAACAGCACAGGATACAGAGTGCAAACGTCTCTGGGAACGCAGCAGGTCCTGGCCAGGCCTTGCAGGCCCTTGGAAAGCATCTCTCTGCTGACAGCACTAACGACTGCTCTTTAAGCAGAACTAATAAGGCTGCGTCGCGCCCCGGCTCCTTTTCAACTCCGATACGGCTCCCTTCCCTATTAATATTATCAGGTGCTTTATGAAGATAGAGTCTCCTTGCTTTGTGCCTCTAATAACAGTGCTGGCTATACTGGACAAGAGTCAATAATGGTAAGCTGGAGAGCTTATCTGAGGCTCGCTCCCCTGCATACAAATCTCATTTAAAGAACGCCTGGTGTCAGTAAACAGTTTTATTACTGACTATTTATATTGGTTTCCCTTTATCCTCGCAGATCTGATGGTAAATTACCTGCCTGAGTGCTGTTCATTCAGGGGTCCTCATAGTTAACAAACCAGTCACAGGTCCAGCCCTGGTGGAACATATGTATCGATTTCCCCCAAATCAAAGGAGAGGGCTGGGAGGGGGTGTGGTGGGTGGTTTTTAAACCAGAGCTGCCAGGGGTAATGAAGTGACTCTCATCTCTGCGTCTGAATGGGGAACGTGGGGTCCGTTGTGCTGGAGCCTCCAGGGGCTGGAAGCGGGAGTGTTTGCAAGGTGCCAGGTGAAGGGCGGATACCTCAGCACCTTCCCCCTTCTCTGCCCTCTTCTTTCCTTGCGCAGGGAGACACTGCCCTGCCTTAGAAACAGACCCAAAGTCCTGAGCTGGGTGGCAGACGTGCCGGTGCCCCCGCCTGCAGCACTGGCTCTGCCCACGACACAGGGAGGAGCCCCAGGGGCCGGGGCTGCGTTCCCTTCCCTCTGCCCCCTGCCCTGTGGTGCCCACGGGCCCCTCAAGGCCAAAACCAGGCCTATCGGATGTGCCATTGACAGCGCCCACCAAATCAGTGGGAGAGGAACCAGGGGGAAAAAACCCCTAGCCAGGCCCAGGTCGTGCCCCCTTTCAGCACAGGAGGCACCTGCGGCCGCACCGAGGTAAACCTACAGGCCCCCTTGCTCTGAGGGCCACTGACTGGGGGTAGTAAGAGGAAACCAGGGCAGGAGGGAAGCCCAGGGGCCGATAGGGAAGCTTAAAGGTTGATAGGAAAGCTCGGGGGTTGATCAGGAAGTTTAGGGGTTGATAAAAAAGCTCAGGGGTTGATAAGAAAGCACGGGGGTCCATAGAGAAGCCTGGGTTGATAGGAAAGCTTTGGGGTCCATAGGGAAGCTCGGTCGATAGGGAAGTTTAGGGGTCCGTAGGGAAGCTTTGGGGTTGATAAGAAAGCTCAGGGGTCCATAGAGAAGTTTGGGGGGGGCCATAGGGAAGTTTGGGGGTCGATAGGGAAGTTTAGGGGGCCATAGGGAAGCTTTGGGGTTGATAAGAAAGCTCAGGGGTCCATATAGAAGTTTGGGGGGGGGCCATAGGGAAGTTTGGGGGGCGATGGGGAAGTTTAGGGGGCCATAGGGAA